AAGAGGAGGGACGGCGAGTGCGTAAGGAGGAGGCTTGGAGGGGGGAGAGTGAAGAGGAAGGGAGAGGAGGAAGGGAGAGAGGAAGGAGGAGGAGGAAGGAGGGACGGGGGGAGGAGGTGGAGAAGGAAGGGGGGAGGATGAACGAGGAGGGGATGAGAGAAGGGGAGAGGAGGAGAGAGGAAGGGTGAGAGGAGGAAGGGAAGAGTGGTGAAGGGGAAGGGGGGAGGAAGGGGGTAGGAAGGGGCAAGGAGGAGGATGGTGGGAGGCGGAGGAGGTGAGGGAGGGAGAGGAGGTGGAGGGAAGGAGAGGGGGAAGGTAAGGGGGGTAGGAGAGGAGGAGAAGGAGGGGGAGGGATGAGAGGAGGACATGAGAGGAGGAGGAGGGGGCGGGAAAGGCAACGGGGGAGGAAGAGGAAGGGGGAGAGGTGAGAGGAGGGAGGAGGGAAGAGGGAGGAGGAAAGGGGAGTTAGGGAGGAGGAAGGGAAGGGGAGAAGGAGGAGGAGGAGGACAGGGGAAGGAGGCAGGAGCGGAAGAAAGGGAAGAATGGGAAAGGGGATGAGGCAGGAAGGGGTGAGGAGTGGATGGGGAGGGGAGGAGAGAGAGGAAGGGGTGAGAGAGGAGGGGGAGAGGAGGAGTAGGAAAGGGGGCGGAGGAGTGTCGAGGAGAGGAGTGGTTTAAGGAGAGGTGGAGAGGGGAGAGAAGGAAAGGGGAAATGTAGAGGTGGACGTGAGTTGGAGGTAGAGGTGGAGGAGGCAGAGGAGCGGGAGAAGGGAGGAGGAGGAGAGAGGGGAGGAAGGAGGGGGGAAAGGAGGAAGGGAGGGGAGGAGGAGGGGTGAGGAGGAGCGTGGAGGGGGAGGATTGACGAGGGGAGAAGTTGTTAGGAGGAGGAGTAGGAGGAGAGAGAGAGAGAGGAGAGAAGAGGGAGGAAGGGGAGTAGAGAAGGAGGAGGAAAGAGGGTTAAAGACAGTGGGAGGGAGGAGGTGGAGGAGGAGGGAAGGAGGAGGATAGGAGGGAGGGAGGAAAGGGGGGAGAGAAGAGGGAGAAGGTGGTGGGGGAGGAAGAGGAGGGGGGGATAGGAGGGAGGAGGAGAGAGGAGTGAAAGGGGAGAAGGAGGTGGACGGAGGAAGGAGGAGGTGGAGTGAGGGGGAAGGGAAGAGGCGAGAGAGGAAGGAAAGGGGGGAGGAGGGAGAGGTGAGGAGGAGGAAGAGAGAGGGGACGGGAGGAGAAGGAGTAGAGGAGGGGGAGGGAGAGTGAGAGGAAGAGGAGGAGGAAGGGGGGAAAGTAGAGAGAGGAGGAGTGAGGAAGGGAGGAGGAGGAGAGGGGAGGAGCGAGAAGGAAAGTAGAAGAGGAGGAGAGGAGTGCGGAAGCAGGAGGGAGGAGAGAGGAAGGACGGGGAAGAAGAAATAGAGGAGCAAAAAGAGAAAAAGAAGGCTGAGATAGAATGGGATAATTTATATCATGATTCCAAAATAACATAACTCTATCTATATATAAGAAAATATAATAATG